TGTATCTCAATTTGCAGGGCAATGGGTGTATTTTCATTTATTGTTTACTCTGCTTTTATGTATGGAATATATGTTCCTAATTGACATTTCACTATCCATAACAAGGATAGTGCTGATTATGGGAAGGTTTTCTCTGTAAGCTCTCTTTGCCCTTAAACTATGCTACAGATCCTTTAACTTCTCCTTATATGACAGACAATGCTTTGTTTATATATATATATATCTGTTTGATATTAAAGCTTTGGACCATCAGGGTTATGGTTATTAAACATATAAAAACATTATAAATTGTTTAGCAGTTTAGTGATAGTTGTAATGATAAAAATAAGAAACAGTCTTTTGTGAGATTTAACATTATTTAGTGATTATTTCATTCTTCTCTGCAATTGTGGCCTTCAAAGGTATTATGCTCTCCATTTTCTTTGGACTCATTAAGTCTCTGTTTTTGTCATGCAGACTTAGCTGAGAGATGTGAATTATGTGAGTAAATGAGATTTCATGGAAGCAAAATGGCATTCACTGATGAATTTTGTTAGTTTTTGTCACTCTGGTAAGTTCTCATTTCTTTTAGCTAAATGCTGCTTTGATTTGTTCCGTGATGTGTTTGTGTCCTTTTCTTTTGTGGGGCAATCTAGGGTCTCTCTACTTTTATTCCGTGGTTCAGATTCACTTTTCTGGTCTTCTTGTTTTAGTTTTGATTATCTTTACTAGAATTGACAGAGGAAGGATTAAAGAAGGATTAAGAAACTGTTTGTGGTCATCTATATGGGAAAAAGAAGGAATTTTTAGTTTATGTTAGTCTTTTTTCTTTTTCTTTTCTTTTTTTAATGTTTGCTCAAAAGAAGCTTTAGTTTCAATTAGTATGGTTTAATTAATAAATCAGTGTAAAATTGAAACTAGATGTATGATTTAGAGACTGTAATTGCTTCTGCACAAAAGTGGAAATATTGCTAAGATTTAGCCTTGTCTTCATGTTAGGTTATTGTTGTGCTTATAATTAGTTTTCATTTGAAAAAAAAAAAAAAAAATGGTGGGGGAAAGATTCTGAAAAATCTCCCTTGAGCGTTCTTGTTATGCAATTTTATGTTTGGATATCTTGCAAAGTTGTATTCAAATTGTTGGGGAAGGATACTGAAAAACGACATTAAAGTACGCTTGACAATGAGCGTCTAAACAACATTAAGGTAAGTGTGAATTGGTGGTTGTCATTGAAAATTGGGTTCTTTTGGAGTAGCAAATGTACAGGGGCTGTACCTGGTGGCAATGAGAAAAAGGAATAGTCAGAATTGGGAGGGCAATTAACCATTCCACTGTTTTTTTTTTCAGAACTATGGCCTGTATGCCTTCAATGATGTAGAAAATTTTAAGCTGGAAAATGGAGTGCTGAAGAAAGGGCAGGATGCAGTTGGATTAACTTTGTTAGTATTATATACTTTTTGGTGATATTTCAGCATCGAGAAAGTGAAACTTGAGATAATGTGCAGTCTGACTAATTTTATAAGGTTCTGAGGGGTATTAAAATTTTCTTGTCTTGTATTGCTTAATAATGTTGGTCATATAAGATTTTATTTACATAAGAATAAAAGGTCAGTTTTCTCTTGCCAAACTTTGGGAGGCAAAAGATAGGAACTTTGGAAGAGAATTCTTATATTTCATAATGACTTAAGCATATGGTTTTGACTTTCGAACCACCCTGAATTTTCTATGTACATATTTTCTTTTCGTACGTCGGATGATGGGTGGTTGAGATCTCCAACATAGAAATTCAAGCCCTTAACCACTAGGATGTGATCAAATATTCTATGTGCATGGGAGTAGAAGTAATAATGTTAAAATTGGAAGTAACAATGTTAAATCATGTATTGTTTCATGGAGGCTGATGCAATTGCATAGGAAACTTCATTTATGATATTTTATCTACCTTTCTCTCTTTTCATTCTTCCTTGCCAATTTTACTCTTCAGCATTCTTTACGTAATAAATATAATCCTGGTGAATGCAGGTCTGTGAAACGTGAGGCATTGATACAGAGAGTGACTTCTAATACATCAACTTCTCATTCCTTCTATAACAAGCTATAAATTGAGAATTGAGGATTTAGTACAACTGAGTTGCAAAGTTTTTCTTGTGGCCTTGCGCTGGCATAGCATGCTCCAGTAAAGTATAAGCAGCATTTCCTACTTCATTAGAAAAATGGATATTAAAGAGGCAGAGAGGGTAGTCATAGCCAAACCAATAGCTTCAAGGCCTACTTGTTCCAGTTTTAGGTCTTTCTTAGAGCTCCTTGCAGGTGCCATTAATGCCTCACCCACTAATTCTTGTTCTGAAACTGCAGTTGCTGCAATTAGACCAAAGACTGTGTGGTTCAAGCCAGGGGTTAGTCGTGCCCCAACAATGATGGTTTCTTCTCAGGTGACCACTTAGACTTCTGAATACTATTCTCATTTAGGTATAATTTGTCCTCTGATCTTTCTACCGTCCTACAATTTCAGGCAGAGCTTCCCAGAACAGCAGCCTGTAATTCAACTGATAAGGTTTCAGAATCAGATAGCAAACCGACTTTGGTTTATAAACCACAGGCAAAGCTTGTCTCAAAGACTACTGTTTCTCTCTTGGCAAACATGGTCAGTAGCTAAATTCTGTTATGGTAATAGGAACTCTTTTTTTTTTTTTTCCCTAGTATAATAGATCATGAACTCAAGGATTATGTTGAACTTTGAAAACTAACCTGCATTTTTGCTGACATTACTGTTTCATTTCAACAGGGAAACTTCAATACTAGTCATCAACAAGCACTATTAGCAGTTGAGGCAAGAGCTCAACAACTGAACCAAGAAAAGCAAAATTTCCAATCCCAATTCATCTCAAATATTCAGCAGAGTACTACATCACAGGCAGATACAGAGCAAACAAGTGAACCCTCAAAGATGACATCTTAGAACATGGATGAGGATCCCAAAGGTATTCCTGCTAGAACTGATAGACCCTCTTATGATGGCTATAATTGGAGGAAATATGGGCAGAAACAAGTAAAAGGATTTATGCTTTCACAACAATCTATAATCTGGTATGCTACTCTTTGATCTATACTCTTACAAATCTTGAATCTTGCTTGATTTATGCTTTACGTTGTTAATTTGCAGTTTGTCAAGGATTTGCATGCTCTTATTAGCCCAGTTCCTCAAGGAACTTCCCTTCCACTTGTTTTGCTGGGGAAGGTATGATTGTACTATAGAGAAACATTTTCCTATAGTTCTCCTTTGGATTTTTAATTGACTCTATTTTTGTGATGAATTCATTAATTTTTCTTTCAGTCAAAGAATGCACTATTATTGACTTTCTTATTTCTCAATCAAATGGTTTGGCTCGATAGAACAAGTATCTATAAGGTATGAAGTTTACTTTATCAATATTTGATTTTATATAACTTGTGGTTGGATTCTATAAGAAATGTTAATTGGAAAAAAAAATAAACTATTATTTTTCGTAGAACAAGGAGCGTGATGAGCTGCTTGGGTGGATATCCCCTTTCTGTTGGATGGGTTTTTCAATTTGCAACAACTTGGTTGAGGTTTGTTGATCATTATTAGTTATATAAAGTTCTCTCCTGCAATAATTGTTTTGCCATTAAATTCTTCACAAGCTTTAGATCTTTATATGAATATTCTTCTTAAATCAGCTTGGGGAACTTGGGAGGCTTTTAGTATCAATGGAAAAGTTGGAGAAGGAGCTAAAGAACTGTGATAAGTGCCAAGTATGTTTAACATAGTTACTATTTTCTGTGTTTACAGTTGGATTCTCCTATTTGAATTTCCATATTATATTGTAGTGGATAAAAAGGGCAGTGAATGAATGGTATTGTTTGATAAGAAATTTATTTTATAGAGATTTTTGTGTATTGTAAAATGGGTTAGAGTACCATTTGTTCTCAATATATGAATAAAATGAGTTAGGTTTTTTCAATACAGCAAAAGAATAAGTGCAGGAGAAAATTATAGAATAAAAGTGAATTACCAATTGTAAAAAAAAAAAAAAAAAGGATCTATACCAACGGAATTATCCATTTGTAAGGGTAAA